TCAAAGCAATCGTTTCTTGTCCCTAATACTGTACACACCCATCTGACCTGAGTTCAGGATGTTCTCCTCACAATTAGACTAGGAAGAATTCATTTGGTGGGGCTGGCCTAACAACTTTGTAGGACCAGGTGCCATACAACTGAGTTTGAGAACAGCTGCAACATGCGTGACAACTGGCCTTGGGTGTGAAGGAAGTTATTTGTTGTTCTGCTGGATATTTGATCTTGGTCAAGACAGCAAGAAACTGTCAGAGGAAATTCACCAAGTTTAGCATGCAGAGAGCCCCTGCCATGCCACTGAAAGAACAACTGCAGTGTTTTAAAGTCTTTTTCTTCATATTCTGTAGGAGGATATGGAGGAGAAATCTTAGAAGTAAGTTTTAGAATATCAGTATGGTCCATTGGCCAATATTTATGAATTGTCAAGCTCATTGCAAGTCAGCAAGGTTGTCTCAGTGTCCAATTTAAGTGCGTTTAGGCTACTATATCTTTGCATGGAAGGGAAGTTGATTTGCATGCACTGGCTTTGCTTCTGAAGGCGGTCTTTATAGCAGTGGCGACACATAGGGGTACACACGGGTGCATGTGCACCCCCCGACTGACTGTGCTCCCTGCTTAGGTGATGGACAGGGGGGCAGGCAGGAGTGCCAGTACCCTCCCTGCGAGCACCGGCTGGGGAGTGGAAGCGTCAGATGTAGCGCCACTTGGCCACTTCCCAGTCAATGAGTTTTGCCGCAGGGAGATTCTCACTGGTCACTGAGGGGGGCATGTGCCCCCCCTGACTAAGGTGGCACCAGTCACCCATGAACTTTATAACTATGCCTCCCACAAACTCCAGTTATGTCAGCTGCTTTCCTTCGGCCTTCTGAACTTCCTGTGTCAGGTTTCTCTCACCAGCTGTAGTGCTGGCAAGAGGATAAGGGAACTGTCACTTACACAGTGGATCTTGCACTGGCTGGGGGAATTCGATTTTAATTCCCAGTTATGGGGTTGAATGCCATGATTTTCCTCTGGTATGAGAAATTTTACAGATACTAAGAAACTAAGAGGTGTTCATTTTAAAAGAGTCTGTCAAGCCAAGTTGTGCACTCAGTGAAGTGCTGTGCATAGGTATGAAGTAGCACAGGACCAGATCATCCCAATGCAATCATTCATTTTTCCAAGATGGTCAATTTACAACCACCAGTTTACAACCTTAATTTTAGCCTGGTGCCCTGCTTAATTTTAGAGGCTAAACAGGGTTGGAGGGCAGCACTAAGACTAGAAACAGGAACAACAAATAATGTTTACACTTAGGACTTAGAATGCTTGGATCCATCCATGCCAGAAAGCCACTTTTGAAGATCTCATTTAAATATGAATAAAATCTTCATGTTTGTCTAGCTACAAAGCTGGAATGAACAGGTTTTCTATATTCTGCCTACCCAGCCAGCAGTACAGCAATTAGGGGATGCAACTGAGATATCCCATGCTCCAATCCACCAAAGAAAGAAAGAAAAAAAAACCTGAGGTGGGCAAGAATGCAATTTCCTTCCATTTGACAGGAGAGTCTGGGAACACTTGTGATCCAACTAGAACTCAAGTTTAGAGTTATAAACACACTGTAGCTAGATCATATTTTGATTTCAAAATCAAGGACTTTGGTATTCCAGCTTTCTTCCCCCAGAATATTGGTCTCATTGACTGGATTACATGGAATATCCTTATATTGCTATAAAAACTTAAGTATACACCTCATTTTAGAAGTAGTTTCTATACAGCAACTTTTCTCATGGAAGTGTTATATCTTGCATTCTTGGGTGTTCTGCCACAGAATCATAGCTACATTAATGGGATATTGTAGTTACTCTTTTAAGTATCATGCATTATGGGCCTTTGTCAACTTGTCCATGTTAATGCTGACATGACTTGCAAGTTTGCATTCTTTGCTTTTTCATTTTTGATGAGCTCATGCTCCCTTGACCACTGTATATCTATTTTAAACCCCCCACCACCCTGCAATTAGAAATTCAAACTTACCGCAGCACATTTTTTGCTCCCATACACTTGATATCATATGACACAGAGTAGATTTCATAGAAAGTAGCTCTAATATTTAAACAACCAATGAAGTCTTTCGGATTCAGCTTGTACAAATCAAATGTGATGTTGGCCACGCCCATTTTCTTTGGTTGCTGTACAGCGAGGCAATTTGCTCCCTATTAAAAAAAGAGAGAGGGGGAAGGATTTAATTTTTACTCCATATTGAATATTTTCTGATAATGTTGCCTATGTATCAAGAGGTTTTAACATGCAGCTCAAACCTCTTGATTTTGGATTCAGACCCAAAGATTACAAAGTCTTCTTTGTCACACCTATTTTTGCAAGGTATTGCTACCTTGGATGAAAGGAAGTACAGAAGACTGTGACTTTATGGCTTTTAAAAAGTTACTCAAGGTCTGGTCAGGCCTTTAGGCCTCTCAAGTATGTCTAATTCATTAATTTAATTATCAGGGGTGTACTTGGTAGCCGTGTTGGTCTGAGACAAAAAGACATACAAAAAACTAGAACTCTTGGTTCCAAAATTATACCTTTTATTAGACCAACTGGAAAATGGCAAGAAAATTGTCTTTTTCTGCAAGCTTTTGGGATCAATCCGTTTTCCAGTTGGTCTAATAAAAGGTATCATTTTGGAACCAAGAGTTCTAGTTTTTTGTATGTCTGTTAATCTAATTATGACATTACAAAGTATCAGTTAGCATAACAATTTACTTTCCTTTAGTTCAATTTCTATCTGGTGAGGAGTCAGGACTTCCTGCACTATCAGACTTGGAATCCAGCATGGTTGCAACACTAACAGTGAATTTAAGTTGTTTAGCAAAACGAGTCATATTGACACAGTGCTCCACTAATCTCCAAGAAAAAGAGTACTTTAAAAGCATTTGCTATAGCTAGTTTCTAATAAAGAAACCTGACACTCATTAGTAACTTAGATGCTCAACATTTTTATTTTATACTAATTTGTTTTGTGACTGAGCTTTGGAATAGTATCTCTTGAATTGCTGATGTAGTTGAAGTTATACCACACAGATTGGTGCAGAGCACTAAGCAAGGAGAAACAAGAGTGGCATGGAAAACAAAGGTAATTTCAACATCATTTTGGGTTTCATAGTTGGTAGGGTTAGAAGGGACCTGAGGAAATCATCTAGTCCGACCCCCTGCCGTGGCAGGAAAGAGTACTGGGGTCAAACGACCCCGGCCAGATGTTCATCCAGCCTCCTTTTAAAAACCCCCAGGGTAGGAGCCAGCACCACTTCTTTTGGAAGTTGGTTCCAGGTCCTAGCCGCCCTGACAGTGAAATAGTGCTTCCTAATGTCCAGCCTGAAACTACCCTCCGCTAGCTTGTGTCCGTTGTTTCTTGTAACTCCCGGGATTGCTCAGGGAAACAGGGACTCTCCCAATGCCTGATGGTCCCCCTTGATTAGCTTGTAGACTGCCACTAGATCCCCTCTCAGCCTTCTCTTTTGGAGGCTGAACAGGTTCAGGTCCCTCAGCCTCTCCTCGTAGGACCTGCCCTGCTGACCCCTGATCATGCAGGTGGCCCTCCTTTGGACCCTCTCCATATTGGTCTGCTTAACGTTAAGAAAAGTTGCTCTTGGCATCCTCATTTCAAAATGAGGAAAGAAAACCTCTTTAACTAGTTGCCTGTATCCATTCCACACTGTAGGGAGACATCTAGTGGATATACTGTATCTTGACTATTTTACTGTAGATAGGGGCATAATGGCACAGCTGTTCAATTGTCTCACTCCAGTTCTAGAGGCATGAGTTGAAGTTCAGTTTAGACTTGCGATGAAGTCCATCCCTACTCAACCCAAATTTAGATAGGGACCTGGTCATTTTGCTGCAGTCAGTGTCAAGGGTGGCATGTGCCACAGCAAACCACATTTCATTTATGTGCTGTTGGTGATACATACATCTTAGCCATCCTGCTTCAAAGGGCTGCTATGCTCATGCTTAACCTTTTTATTTATTTATTTTTATTATTATCTAGTTAATTTACCACAATCTGAAGCACATTATCCAGTCACCTCAATGCACAGGAAATGCCAAGATAACCAAACCAATTTCAGTTAAATATAGGTTTAGTGGGGACAGTTTTGTATTTCTGCTTTTTAGGTCTACAGACTAAATGCTCTTTCACCAGAAGGACATGACACTTGAAGCTAGGTTATAGGCATTTATAGCATTCTATTGAGAGATCAATATCAGCTCCTGGGGAGCTGTGATAATTACCTTGGCAGGCTTGAATTAATATGCAGTCTACTTGGGTGGGGACATCATGCCATTTCACAATTAGGTGACTGCTTAAGGTTTGTCACTCATGTGGATATACTGGGAAAGAGCAGTAGAACTAACTCTGTAACTATGTGAAGTACTGGCTAACTGAGGTTTATTTTTCCAGTGCCAGCTATTTTACTGAAGGATAGTTGGAAACTTGATCTAGTTTCTTATTTGCACTTATAGATCTTAATTATTTGCATACAAGCTGCTGGTTGGTACCAGTCTTTAATGACTGATGGCCCCAAGCCATGAAAGGCATCTTGGACCATCTTTTGTTTTAGTAAAAGACTGGATAGTGGAAAATTATTTGTTAAGAGAGAGATTCAAGTACTGGCAGCAACAGGATTTCATCCCCACATACATGAACTTTGATAGGAGCACTATAATTCCAGTCCATGGAGCTTTGTTGGAGGTGCTGCCTATTTTACTCCTTCAGAAGGATTTCACAGAAACCTTGGCAAGCAGATTAACATCATACTTTTAGGGGAAATATTTTTCCTCTTCCAACCTTTTACTGTCACCAAACTACCATCCTCCATAATTCTCCTTTCACCACTATTACATAAGAGGTACTGCTACTTACTAGTGTCCACTTCTGTCCTTCTTTTAGAATCATGAAGTGTGTATTATCCCCAAGAGACTGAAAAAACTCTTCTGTATCTACAACCGTACCATCTTCCTCTAAAACCAAAGTAACTATTCCGGCTGTAATCAGGAAGGCATCCAGGGTCTATAATAAATGGAAGAGTGAAACACAATTCAGGGTGCCAACTCTTAAGTTCCTTCTGAAACATATTTAGGTGTAAAGTCACTTGCCAGATAATCCAAAACATCATCACTGATGGATCTGGATCTGCTTTCAGATGACATGCTGGGATACCTATTTCCAGAATATATTTCAAGGAGTTGTATTGCTTCATTTAATGCCTTACTGTCTTCTACTCTAGAAGATGCTTTCCTCATCTAGTCGAGTAACTAAAAGCTGCGTGCAGCTGGAGAATATGAGTCTTATTCAAGCAAGCCTTGATATTAAGTCTCTGGGTTAGGGTCAGAGGGGAGAGCAACAAGGGTGATGTCATGGTTGGTGTCATGGTGCTATAGACCACCAGACCAGGAGGATGAGGCTTTCTTCAAACAGCTAGTAGAAGTTTTCCTGATCAGAGGCCCTGATTCTTATGGGGGACTTCAACCACCCTGACATCTGCTGGGAGGGCAATACAGCAGTGCGCAGGTAATCCAGGACATTTTTGGAGTGTTGGGGACAACCTTCCTGATATAGCTTCCTGGTGTTCAAGATGTCAACTAGTAGCTGTGTTCTTCTTGACCTGCTGTTCACAAACAGGGAAGAATTGGTGGGGAATGTAGTAGTGGATGGCAACCTGGACAGCAGCGACCATGAGATGATCAAGTTCAGGATCCTGAGGAGAGGAAGAAAGGAGAGCATCAGAGTATGGACCCTGGACTTCAGCAAAGCAGATTCTGACTCACTCAGGGAACTCTTGGGCAGGATCCCCTGGGAGGCCAGCCTGAAGGGAAAAGGAGTCCAGGAGAGCTGGTTGTGCTTTAAAGAAACCTTACTCAAGGCACAGGAATGAACCATCCTGATGAGCAGGAAGACTAGCAAGTATGGCAAAAAACCAGCCTGGCTTAGCAGGGAACTCTTCAGTAAGCTAAAACGCAAAAAGGAAGCTTACAAGAAGTGGAAACTTCGACAAACAACTTGGGAGGAGCACAGGAATATTGCTCAGGCATTCAGGGATGAAATCAGGAAAGCCAAAGCACAACTGGATTTGCAGCTAGCAATGCGCACGAGGATAACGAGAAGGGTTTTTACAAGTATGCCAGCAACAAGAGGAAGATATGGGAAAGTGTGTGTCCTTTACTGAATGTGGGAGGCAGTCTAGTGGCAGATGAAAGGCTAAAGTACACAGTGCCTTTTTTACCTCAGTCTTCACAGGCAACATCAGCTCCCAGATTGCACCTGGTAGTACAGTTTGGGGAGAAGGGAAGCAGCCAACAGTGGCAAAAGAACAGGTTACGGACTATTTAGAAAAGCTGGACTTGGGCAAGTCCACGGGGCTGAATGCGATGCACCCTAGGGGGCTGAGTGACAGGAGTTGGCAGGCGTGACTGCAGAGCCATTATCTGGCCATTATCTTTGAAAACTTGTGGCAACTGGGAGAGGTCCTGGATGATTGGAAAAGGGCAAGCATAGTTCCCATCTTTAAGAAAGGGACTAAGGAGGATCCTCGGAACTACAGACCTGTCAGCCTCACCTTGGTCCGTGGAACAATCATGGAGCAAGTTCTCAAGAAATCCATTTCTAAGCACTTGAAGGAGAAGGTGATTAGGAACAGTCATCATGGATTCACCAAGGGCAAGTCATGCCTGACCAATCTGATTCCTTTCTAGGATGAGATGAGTGGCTATATGGATACAGAAAGAGCAGTGGATGTGACATACCTTGACTTTTGCAAAGGTTTTGATATGGTCTCCCACAACATTTTTGCAAGCAAGCTAAAGAGGTATGGGTTGGATGAATGATGAATAAACTATAAAGTGGATGGAAAGCTGACTGGATTGTCAGGCTCAAAGGGTAGTATCAATGGCTTGATGTCTCACTGACAGCCAGTATATCAAGTGGAGTGCCCCACGGGGCTGGTCCTGGGGCTGTTTTTGTTCAATATCTTCATCAACGACCTGGAAAATAGGATGGAGTGTCCCCGCAGTAAGTTTGCAGATGACACCAAGCTGGAGGGACTAGTAGATATACTGGAGGGTAGGGCTAGGATTCAGAGTGACCTAGACAAACTGGAGGATTGGACCAAAAGAAATCTCATGAGGTTCAATAAGGACAAGTGCAAAGTCCTGCACTTAGGATGGAACAATCTCATGCACCAGTACAGACTGGGGGCTGACTGGCTAAGCAGCAGCCCTGCAGAAAAGGACCTGGGGGTTACATTAGACGAACTAAATATGAGTCAACAGCGTGCCCTTGTTGTGAAGAAGGCTAGCAGCATATTGGGCTGCTTAAGTAGGAGCGTTGACAGCAGGTTACGGGAAGTGAGTCTTCCCCTGTATTCAGCACTAGTAAGGCTACATCTGGAGTACTGTGTCCAGTTCTGGGCCTGCCACTACAGAAAGGATATAGACAAATTGGGGAAATTGGGGCAGTGAAAATGGTTAGGGGGCTGGGGAACATTACTTATGAGGAGAGGCTGAAGAAGCTGGGCTTATTTAGTCTGAAGATAAGACAGAGGGGATTTAATAGCAACCTTCAACTACGTCCAGGGTTGTTCCTAAGAGAGAGCTAGACTGTTCTCAACAGTGGCAGATGACAGAACAAGTAGCAACAGTCTCAAGTTGCAGCAAGGGAAGCTTAGGTTAGATGTTAGGAAAAAACTCCCTCACTAGGAGAGTAGTAAAGCACTGGAACAGGTTACCCAGAGAGTTTGTAGACGCTTATCCTTGGAGGTTTTTAAGACTGAGGTAGACAAAGCCTTGGCTAGGATGACCTAGTTGGGGATGGTCCTGCTTTGACTAGGAGGTTGGACTAGATGACCTCCGGAGGTCCCTTCCAACCCTAATTTTCTGTGATTCTATGATATTGCATATAAAATTTGGGTTGATTTTTGAGAAATGAAACTTCTGGGCATTAAGAACTACACAATATTTTAGAAGGATACTCCTCATTGTAGATCACTTTAAAATAGTTCCTCTCCCCTCTCCATTATCTATGGAAGGAGGTTTCTATGCTTATCTGTGGAATTCTAGATTTCACTAAATTCAGTCACATTTTAAGCATGAGGGCCCTGAAAAGGTCAAAATTATCCAGCCCATCTTAGCTATTATTATACCCATCAGAAGTTAAAATAGAAATTTAACCTTTAATTAAGCTTCCTCTTCTCCTTTAAATCTGGAGAGAAAAATATAATTTTTAAGCTATTTTAGGGAGCCATGAATTTTAAAAATTAAGGCTCCTTTAGCAAATACCATAATGGTCTATTTGTGTCTTAGAAGCCAGTTTTTGTGACTTGGGTCTAATTTTCAACCATTTGACTTCACCTCAGCCAAAGCAAGGTTTGCACTAAAGCAGAGAAGACGAGACAGTCCAGATAGCCTTACTGATGTTGGTAAATCACAGCCAAAAAGTGGACCACAGTAGTATAACTACTTTAAGGTGAGTAGAGCACCAGTCCTAGGCACCAATTTGGAGGGGCACCAGCAGCATCCCACAGCACATGGCACCACTATCCCCCTCTCCACTCCACTCCACTCTCTGTCTCTTGACAGCATCTCTGACTGACAAAATTGTTAGTTACGTGTCTGGTGCAACATTGGATATACCTTGCTAGTGAGGTCCTGCAGACTGCTTGCAACAACTCCTTTCCGACTGCTTCGGTCATGATTTGATATACGAAAAGGTCGTCCTGCAGATGCAAGAGGAGGGAAAAGGGTCTGTCTTGTTACTGACCCAACAGAAGCTCCCATGGATACCAGAGATCTAAAAATAAAAGAAGAGTCTTATCTGAACTGAGAAAATTGATGTCAGTCATTGGGAAGGATATGATAGGTTGACTACTGAATAAGCATGCTGCTCGTCCAGTTCATAGGACGTTTGTACTGCACTCTGGTTCCAATCTCATAACAAAACTGCCTGGACCAGCAGAGTTCATTAAAAAAATAGTGTTAACTTTAACAGGGTTAGTCAATTTGCTGATGAAGTTAGTTCCTGAT